TCTATCCGTGTATGTATGTATGTATGTATGTATGTACGTATGTATGTGTATGATGTATGTAAAGATACGTAGCTAGAGGGATAGATGGATGGATGGATGGATAGATAGATCGATAGATAGATGGATATGATAAGCAGACAGACAGACAGACAGACAGATAGACAGATAGACAAATAGACAGATAGATAGATAGGTAGGTAGATAGATAGATATGCTGTATGCATGTACATATACACGTCTGTGTGTAGATATATATATACATACATACATACATACATACATACATTACATACATTACATACAGTACATACATACATACATACATACATACATTACATACATTACATACAGTACATACATACATACGTACATTACATTACATTACATTACATTACATTACATTACATTACATTACATTACATACACATGCATGTATACACTATGGCGAGCGAACTTACCTAACATGAGCGAGTGAAGATGCACAGGCGTATATTGAAATTGAACAGGGTATCTCCAGACCTGCGTATTTTACACATACGTACAATGTCTACATACATACAGAACACCGCCGTGCATCCTAAATACATAGATAGATACGTGTCTGTCCTTCCATCTCTAGCTTCGGTCCTCTTTTCGAATCTCTGTTTCGCTTCATTGTTGTAGTGTTCTGGGCTCCTTTATAGCAGAATTATAATAAGGAACCCAAGCAACGGTATAAGTAATTATTTAGGCTTCTATGTTATTCCTAGTTGTGACCTCGGAGCCTCCCTCTGGGAAGCGTCGATGGGAGCGTTTTTGCTGTGGGCTCTTTTCCAACTTTAGGGTTTAGGGGTTTAGGGTTTAGGGGTTTAGGGGTTTAGGGTTTAGGGTCCGAGTTCGGGGGATCCAAGAGAGTTTAAGGGTTCGGGTCTCGGCTAGGAGTTTGAGCAAGGACCACACCAATACAGCAATCGAAACGAAACGACCAGCAACAGTATTCCCTGCTAGTCTTCATCAGTTTCTGTATAGTATCACCGCCTTGATCTACTTGTGCAGGCCCCTCTGTTTTAGGTCCCCAGAATAGTACTACACCCTTATAGAAAAAGACCCAAAAGGGAACCCTAATTTAGAGAACTACCCTTATTGATTAAAACCCTTAAAGATCCCTTTAAGGAACCCTAACAAGGGACGCTAATTGCTGAAGCTTGGGGTCCCCACCAAAAGCGAGTCGTTGCCCGCATCATTGCCATTGGAGAGGTCAGTGTTACAACGCCTGGTCTTCGTCGGATGGTTTAGGGTTTGTAGGAACAGAGCGTAAAGCTTGAGAAGCCCTTTTGGGCTTAGCTCTTGTGAAGCATGTATAAACCCTGCACCGAAACTTTGTTAAAACTCGAGCGATGCAGTTCAAAATCTGAAAAGCTGGATCTTGAGCCTCTAAGCCTCTAAGCTGTGTACTTTGCGAGGTAGCCCGAACCCCCCCCCCCCCACCCGAAACCGATAAAACCCTAAACTCCTGAGCCATCCGAAGCCATCAAATTCGGGTGTAGACCTTTGATTAATAAGCGACTTTTCCTATAGCGCCTGAAAATTCGGATCCTTGATCAAACGAGAGGTGTCTGTTAATCAGTATCTAGGTTAAAGAAGCACCATAAAGCAACCCCTAAACCACACCCTGAGCCTTTATAGATACGTTAAAGGAGTCCTACAGGAAGCCTTAAAGGAACCCTAAGCCCCTGAACCCTTAGGCAGACCCCAGAAAGGGGACCTGAAAAGGAACCCCGAAACCCGCTAACACTGCTCGAATAGGTGTAGGGTTTAGGGTTTACCCATAGGCCCCTAACTAGTTCCTTTTTGGCATTACCTTAATATAGGATTCTGAACGTAAGCCATAAAAAGGAACTACTTAGGGGCCTATGGGTAGGGTGGAGCCCCCACAGTCCTGACATTGTGCCAGCGGGAATCCGGAAGTCAGAAGTCTGCCCGAATATGGGAGTTAGGATTAGGGGGACCCTTCGGGATATAGACCCTCTGAATAAGGTCCCCTTTAAGAGAGCCACAAGCGGGGTTCAGAAGGGTCCCCATTAAGGGGTCTTCCTAAAACTATATACCTAGGAGATTAGGAGTCCGCAAAGACTGCCCCGCCCAGAAGGAACCCCAAGGCAAGGGCTTCACGAAGTTCAAATTCTCCGTCGGAGGGGTTTAGGGCTTCCTCCTTGGATTTTATCCGGCGCCCCCAACCCCCGAAGTTTAGGTTTAGGGGTTTAGGGGTGAAGGGTTTAGGTTGGGGCTGCAAAATTTCACACCGGCCTGTATAACACCATTTCCGAAAACGCCAACAACACCTAAACATACCTAAACACTCGATTGCTATACCTTAATAACCTAAAGCCACCGAACTTTGCAGTCATCCAGCCCCAAACCCTAAACAGCAGCTCTTTCGATCTCCAATCTGCCTGAGTTCACTCGTTGCGCAGCCGCCCTAGGTTCACGCCAGCCTCAGCTTTCAGGAGGCGTAACCTAAAGGATCTTCCCAGAGATCAGGATTTAAGGCCTGTTGAGGGTTCCTTTAAGGGTTCCCTTTCCGGGGCTCCTTTTTGAGGTATCTATATCGGCTTCGGGTTCGGGCTTCCCAGAGATCCCCAGTACCCCTTACCTGGACCTTAAGCCAAAATACGAAGGCCCCTAAACTTGAAGGTGTATTCCTCAATCAATGGGGATCTCAGGATCTTATAAGCCTTTTGGACAAGATTTATCGATATCAACCCGGGTCCTGAACCCGAATTAGGGCCGCATGGTTTGCTCAGAGGAACGCGGGGTTCCTTCTAGGGTTCTTTATTTACGGTTTAGGGTTTAAGATAGTACATCAAAATACACGAAGACCCTATTCTGAATGTTCAGGTCCCTGCAATGTCTGGATCAAGGGACTTCGCCAGCAACTTCATGCTTTCCAGTATTTCGGCTGTACTGACTGGAAACATGAAAACTCAAACCACCTAAACCCTAAACCCTAAACCCCTTAACCCCTAAACCATGTAGACTCAAACCACGGTGGAGCATTAGAAGCCTGTTCGGCTCTCGCCCTTCTTGGAACCATCGCGAACAGTACAAGCGCTGCTGCTCTAACAACTGGAGCTTAGGGTTTAGGGTTTACGGTTTAGGGTTTGGGGCTTAGGGGAGCTATCATCGTTCTGCTGGTCGTTCTTGCTATGACTAGTTTATTGCTGCAGTCGTGACGACTACTACTGCTGGAGCAATGCCTGCCCTTGCCACGATGGCAAAACCCTACAATCTTAAAGCCCTCATTTCAAACTTTTAAGCCCCAAGCCCTTAAAGCCCTAAACCTCAATCAAGTTCTCAACCTCAAACCGAAGCTGGAGAGCCCTTGAGCCTTAAATCCTCAGCCGCCAAGCCCAGCATCCTAAAACCGGTTTTAGGCTCGGGATCTTTGAAACCGAAACCTTGCACCAGCACCTCAATAAAACTGTAGATGCAACATCCCCAAAACTGTTTTCGGGTTTGGGGTTTAGGGGTTTAGGGGCTTAGGGTATAAGCCCGAATCTCAATTAAAAAAAGTAGACGTAACGTCCCCCCAAACTCGTTTTAGGGTTTAGGAACCCTCCATCGCCAAACCCTGCACATGAGCTCTATGAGCCCTAAACTCTCAGTCCAGGCCGCCAGGACCACAAGATTCGAAACATCTGCGCCTAAACCCAAACCCCAACACCACGACGAACCTGAAACTCTACGAAGCACTGAAGGAAACCTTCTGGAGAGAACTGAACCCCGGCCGCAAGCCCTAACGAAAGAAAATAGAAACTTCAAAGACCACCACCCTCAAAAAACTCTCTGAATCACGCAGCCTAAACCCCAGCCCTAAACCCTAAACCATGAAACTCCGTCCGAAGGCTCATCTCAATGCTTTTGCGTCCCACAAAGGCTCGCCGGGCAAAAACCGTGCCCAACCTCGGTGGATGGCCCTAAACCATCGAATCCTAACCCCTAAACCCTAAACCCCGGAAGCCTTAATCCCTATACAGTGGATGGCCGACAGGCCCGGAAAACCAGTATGCAAAGGACCTACAGTCAATTTTGAAGATGGCAAGGAAGGGCATGAGATTTTGTAGGGTTCAATAGTATGGCCCCGATAGGGGGCCGATGGAGGACAGCTCAATGCTTGTAGAGCGAACATGAGCCCTCCAGCCGAAAACCCCTGCGTGGCAGCCAAGTCTACCATCGGATCGAAAAAAACATGTGGACCCCCAAGTAACAAGCCCCTTTGCGTAATCTTATCATTCCGTTATCTTGCTCGTCGAGTATCATCGGGGAAGTAGCGGCTAGTTAATTGATGTAAGGGTTTAATACCCCAGAAAGGTATATTCTACCTACTCAACTACAAAACTATCGTCTCGAGGCAGCCGGGATTTTCGGAAGTGTAAACGTAAAACGTGGGATACCTTAGAGCCTTCGAGAATGATATATATATATATACACACATACATATATATGTACATATTTTTAGAGAAAGAACAGCGGGAGAGAGAGAGAGAGAGAGCGAGCAAGGTGCGAAATAAGGCGGAACAAATATGAATCAAGGCTACAACAAAGATAACTTCAACACAATCGAAAAGCTACAGCTACGCAAAAGGTGTATGACAGCCGCTTACGACGGTCTCAAGAGCCTACCTTGCACAGAAGGTGTGACCCTTTTCACCTCATTGGACACGAAGATTCATAGCCACCGTAACCTGACGCAGCCAGCCGAAATTTAAGCGAACCTTTGCTCCATTTGAGGCTGTAGATGCGACAAAGCTCAACCGTCAAAGCGATGAGCTTTCTTCGGAGTCGGCCGGAGAGCTGGTGTTGCCCCTGTCCGCGTGGACCAACTGTACTTGAGCAAGAGAGGGAGGTGGCTCCAGATTTCAGTTGGCGGTATCTCCTAGGCATCCTAGTCGCTCCAGTCACGAGTCGCAGTCATTCCAGTGGTACATGTCGTCTCACTCTCACTATTCGGCCCACTGCAGCTACTTCTGCTGCTGGCGGTTCACAATGGCCAGTATAGCCTCAAGGCCAGATTCGATGGCTAAGAAGCCACCGACCGCAGGCTGCAGGAAGCTCCCAGGATCCAACCGTGTTCTCAAAGCCTCTGTGACCTTGACTTCTGAGTTCCTCTTTGCCCCAAAAACGTGTTAGCCTTCCATCTTAGGGGTGGGGCGATGAACAAAACGACCAAAAAAGCAAAAAACCGTAGCTAAATCCCAGCGAGCAGGTTGCGCTGCTGTGCGCAATACTGGGGACCACTCCTGCGGCGCAAAGCTCGGCAAATTCCAGGTCGTTCTCGTCGTCAAAGAGAGCCACTGACTCAGAGGCAGCGACGCCTGTCTTCCTGGGCTCTTGTTCAGGGATTTAATTTAAGTTACCATAATAGGGATCTATGGTAAATAATATGGTTTCCTTATTATGGTAATTTAAATTAAATCCCTTAACAAGAACCCAGCTTCTGCATGATGTACTCAACGGCCTTGCGCTTATTGCAGCCCATGGGGGCAACATGGCCCTTTCCGAGGTTCATTACGAAGCCCACGCCGAAACGGTCCGAGAAGTTGCCCTCACCACCACAGAAGAGGCCTCTGGCGGCCTCCTCTTCTGTTTCAAGCGAAACAAACATATCACCAGAGTCCTCTGTGCTTGCAGCTGCCTGCTGGCCATCTTCATCGCTTTTTTGCTTTCGAACCTTTCTCACATCCACATAGAAGCCTGTGCTCAGGCTCACGGCATCAAGATTATATCCAGCCTTGTGCATCTCTCGGAAGCAGTCCCACAGCAATCCTTGTCGCTCTAACGGGTCGCTGTCCAGCTGCCGCCAGTCTCCGGCAATGCGAGCAAATTGTTCAATCCACTTTTCGTCAAGTTCTGCAGCACCCGTGGATTCATTGAACGTGAAGATTTTGCCACCCCCTTCGCACACGCCGAAGTCTGGAAAGGGTATGGTTTGGGTCTCATGGCGCTTCATGAACGTGCGGGTGCGCGCACCAGTCAATAGGCAGAAGATCACACCACGGGCCCGCAGGTCAGCCACGAGATCAACGGTCTTTTTCGAAATATATCCACCAGAAAGGGTTGTTGATGGCACTTTCAACGCCGGGATCGTAGCGCCTGTGGGCTTGTGGATGAACTCGGTCAAGCCCCCATCCTTATCTGCATCTGCCCTGTTCAAGCAGTATCCGGAACGCTCCAGCACATGAGCATAGTGCACAAGGGTACCATCAATGTCAGAGAAAATCGCCCGTACTGCTCGCAAGGGAAGCTCCATATTCTGCGCAAATGAACTCGCCGGTTGCTTCTTGAGCCCTCTGCCATCATTTGTTGTCCCTATCTATGCATATCGCGCGTAGCAGCTGACATTCCATTGAGTCTTTGGTTCTAAATCTGGCCCTCTGCATTCCTGTAGTTGCGGGTCCATCCACACCGAACAAGCCAAATTCACAAACTGTCCATCACTACTGAAGCTTGCTATCAGCCCCCTGGTGTAACACATGCCGAGGCTAGCGCGTTGTAAGCACTGCAGACAGCTCCGCGCAAAGCCTTGGCTATGAACAGGAAGGGTATCGGAATATCTGAAGGGTTTCGCGCTACGGGTTTCCGGAGAGTCCGTTTTTGGGCGTCGAGGATACGGATTTACGTAAAGCGATCCTAGTAGTCCGGCCCCGAAACCCTAGGCCCTATAAACCCAAATAGGGATCCCACAGCCTACGGCCCTGAAAGGGACGGAGGTTTCCCTAAGGCCCTCCAGCTCTAACTCTGGTCTCCTCAACCCTGAAACCCTAGACATAGGCCCCTAAGTGGCTTCCTTTTTATTTGTTTAGGTTTAGAATCTTATAAGGTAATCCCAAAAAGGAACTACTTAGGGGCCTTGGGTAGAGATCCCCAAAGCCCGGTTTAAGGCTATAGAGGCTTCTTTGTTTAAAATGCCATGGGCCCTGGAGTCTCGCTCACCCGACCTGTTCTAGGCTTAGAGGTTTCGGGTTTCGGGTTTAGGGCTCCCAAACCATGAAGATGGCAAGCTCTGTAGTGGAACCCAGAAAGTTGGAACGTGGATGTGGGATGACCAGTGTGCTAAGAATTCCCTCTACTTTCCCTTAAAGGAGCCCCCTATAGATCCCTTAAAGGAGCCCCCTATAGTTCCCTTAAGGGCCGGAGGATCATGATGTTCCACTTTTCTGGCTTCTGCTACTGTGCTCCAAAACCCCAGACCCCAAACCCTTAACCCTAAGCTCTAAAGATGGTAACTGGTAACCCGAACCCGAAACCTCAAACTCTAAAAACGGCCTAAAACCTGAGAAATCGCAAAGCTCGGGCAAACCACGGGTTCTTTCCACAAGAAATGCCGAGGATCCCTGTAGGGTTCATAGGGTTGGGCCCCCGGGAGGACGTGAAACGATATGGGGGCCTTTGCATTGGCGAAATGGTGGCTTTTGGGGAAAATTAAAGTGGTAGCAATAATCTTGATCAAGGCTTGCATTTTGGTTTGGGGCTGGGGGTTGTGCAAGGGCTTGGGGCTTGGTGTCGTTCGGGTCTACTTCTAGGGATTCTGTAGTATGCCTGTAAGGATCCCCACCAAGTAGACGCTCATCAATAGCCCTGGTAGTTGCTGAGTTCCCGGGCCCAAACGTGCTAACAACATCAACGGTAAACCCACGACGCTTACGGCGTTTAACCCGAGCCCCTGAACCTGGATTCAGGGGTTGGGGTTTGAGGGATTGCGGGTCAGTGTTTAGCGGTGCAGGTACCTCACCGTCGGTCGAACTTCCGCACTCTCGAGGGAGCTACATGTAGACGAAAAGACCTATCCATTTTAAAGGGGAGGTCTGTTCGGCCAAAGGAAATCCCCTAAAGCCCGAGAGTCTTACGTGGTCCCCAAACCCTCCTCAGCCCGGTCATGTTGGCCAGAAAGCGCACCAATGACCCAGTTGGCAGGCGCTTCCTGAACCACCGGTTTAGGGGAAGTTCAGGGGTTAGGCTTATTAAGGTCTGCAATGTAAGGTAGGGTTTCACAGACATCCTTAAAATGAGACAGGTAAATGTGCCTTTTTCCTAAGTTTTCACCCAAACCCAAAGGGGCAAAAGGCGGCGAACCTAGGGATGAGAGTGCAGGATTTGGGGTTTAGGGCCACGGTTTTGGGTTTAGGGTTTAGGTTTTCATTGTTTTGCGGTTCCGGGTTTTAAGAGGTTTGGGCTTCAAGGTTTAGGGTTTAGGACTCATAGGGTTTAGGGCTTAGCATTCAGGGTTATCGGGTTATCTTGGCTCAAGGATGTATGGTTTCGGCTCAGGGTCCCTCGGGCCCGGGAGTCGCGATGCGTGCAGAGCTTGTGATGGAGGGGTGTCCGAAGCCTCAAACCCGGAGCCCAAGCCCCCTAAACTAAACCCTAAACCCTAAACCCTAAAACCCTAAACCCTTAAACAACCCTTCAAAGTTCCCGAACCCAAACCCTAAAAAAACTGGAACTTGAAACCTTCTATAATTAATTACCCTGGAAGATTTCAAGCCGTCTGAAGGCAGGAACCGCGAATCCCGAAGCGCACACACTGAAACCCTGTTGGAACATCCACCGACGTCGTACGCCGCCCTTGCTATTACGAAGCTTGGATGCTGCATGTAAGGCGGCGCATGCAGAACTGTATAGGTTGGGACCTATGGCCGCTTGAAGTGTCAAACCATCCCATATCAAGGGCTTTGGGGTTCAAGAGTTTCGGAGTTTTGGGTTGGCTTTTTGGAGTTTACGGCCCACGGAGAGTAGGGATTGGAGGTATGGTATACAGCTGTTATGGCTATTTAGGAGCTATAAGGGCTATCATTGCTTACTAAAATCCCTACTGCGCTCATGACCCCAAACTTCAATCCCGATTACACTCGACACTCTACACCCTCTAAACCTGCAGCAACCAAAACCCCTTAACCCTAAACTTACGCCTTAAGCCAACCACCAACACGACAGCACAAAACACCCCAAATCCGAAGACCCACCCTAAAGCCCAAACCCTGAACTCCGAAGCCCAGCTCTGAGGAATGGGGGGTGGGGGGGACGTGGTTTGTTTATTCTGAGCAGAGACATAAGTAGGATGATGCTAACAAGTTAACAGAGCACCGAGAACGCTCCGATAGAACCGACTGACTGCGTCCCCGGACCTAAACCCCAAGTCCAAACCCAATTCAAAGTCCCAAAATCCAAATCCCAGACCCTAAACCCTGAACCCTAAACCCCAAACCCTAGACTCTAAATCTAAACCCTAAACCCCAAACCCTAAACTCTAAATCTAAACCCTAAACCCCAAACCCTAAACTCTAAATCTAAACCCTAAACCCCAAACCCTAAACGGCCCTAAACTCTAAATCTAAACCCTAA